TGCAGCTGAGCGCATCGGTTTATGGTTCAGAAAGACGCCTCCCGGTGCCTCGGCTGCTGCGACAAACCTTTAATCTCCCTGTGAACCCGTTCAGATCGTGGAGCGCGGCCTCCAGACGACCCTGGTGCTGGAGGACGACCTCCGCTTCGAGGTGTTCTTCAAGCGCCGGCTCCAGGCGCTGCTGCAGGAAGTGACCACACACAAACTGGACTGGGATCTCATGTGAGTTAATAGAAATAACTCAGATTGCTCTCAAATAATCCTTCCTGTCATACATGACGTCTCTGCTGCCGGCCACTAGACATTGAGATTGTTTGGAAATGTTCTGTTTCAGCATCTAAAAGTTTTGTATGAACTTTTGTTTCACAAAGTGAAACAAAACAACAACTTTTTTTCAGTTTTAATTTGTTTTAATCTGTTTTAATCTGACAAATGGTTGCTCAGATACATCGGACGGAAGCGGATGCAGGTGGACCACCCGGAGAAGTCCGTCCCGAACGTCCACAACCTGGTGGAGGCCGACTACTCCTATTGGACGCTCGGCTACATGTTGTCTCTGCAGGGAGCCCAGAAGCTCCTCATGGCCGAGCCTCTGAGCAAGATGCTCCCCGTCGACGAATTCCTCCCGGTCATGTACGACAAGCACCCCATGTGAGTCCGACCCGTGTTCCCTTTGTCGTCCTCCGCGTGGCGCTCTACTTTTATATGACCCCCGTTTTCTGCCCCACCAGTTCAGAGTACATGGATCCCTTCGAGCGGCGGGACCTGCGGGCGTTTTCCGCCGAGCCGCTGCTGGTGTACCCGACCCACTACACGGGGGACGCGGGCTACATCAGCGACACAGAGACGTCCGTGGTGTGGGACAACGAGACCGTCAAGACGGACTGGGACCGGGCCAAGTCAAGGAAGACGCAGGAGCAGGGCGAGCTGAGCTTTGAGGCGCAGAACTCGGACGTGCTGCAGTCCGAGCTGGAGAACGTGAGCGCACGGGACGAGCTGTGAAGAAGAAGAAGAAGCACGGATACAAGGGAGACTGAAAATCTCTGTGATGCAGAGTACAGAGGAACGTATGGAGGGAACGTGATCAAAAAGAGACTGAGAGGCAGAGCTAATGGAGACTTAGCTCACCGGGAAAAAAACAGATTCCTTATAGATTTCTCGCTCCACTAATGGATCTTTCTCCTGAGAGATTAGATGTCGCGTTAACTCTTGAAGAGTCCGCTAACACCTTCTGCTTTATTTATTGCAGTCGATACAAAGGTCTTGCTTTAAGTGTGGTCCAGTTATTTATTTTTCTTTTTTTTTGTACATCAACTTTTCTGAAACTAATGCAAACATTCACTTAGACTTTCTGTGCATCTGAAAAGAAAACAAGAATGCATATATCTAGGGCTGAAACAAGTGGATTAATCAATTATTGGAATATTTAGCAACAGATCCGTCGGTAAAGGGAGTATACGGACTCAAAAAGAGGCCATTTGTTTAAAGAAGAACACGCTCAGAGCGGTAATGAACTGTAAAACAGAATACACATTTGTGCCATTAAGATGAAAAGAAAAACTTTTTCAGTAAATACGTTCTGTGCAAAACTCCTGAAGTGGCATTTTAAGCTTCACCTGCTTCAAATTCTAGTTTGCAGCCCTACAAATATGCAACCTTACCTTATGATTGTTAATATAGGAGTATATTTTGGGTTAAAATAAATAATTAGATCACATTTTATCTTGCATGGACTGACTGCAGCTTTTCGGGTTGTTTATGTTTGTGAGATCCTGCATGTACACATTTAAACCAAGAAATGTTGGGGGAATTGTTAAACATTTTTTTTTATTTTTAGTGATAATGCAGGTGATGAAAGCAATAAAAAAAATATACAGTTGTAGAAGAAATATGTTCAATTGTTCCTGCTTTCTGTTTTGGATGTATCTGACTGAGGTCCTGACACCAACGATTCTCTGTTCGTGTCTCTTATCGTCTTGTTTAAGGTGAACCTCAGACGTTTCTTTTGTTTTTAACGATGAATGTATCCGAGTCTCTTCTTGCCAAAGAAAACATTTTCCCGTTTGGACAGCAGCAGATTTGATTGTCTCTGTGTTTTTGTTTTTTTTATTCCTGCTCTTAACCTTTTGCCAGATTTATTAGCAAACCAGCAACTTGTGTTTGTATAAATTTGCAAATATAGATTTTTATTTTAAAAAAAAATAAAAACAGTGTCAGCTTTGTTTTCTGCACGTCTTTCTCGCCAAAGGTCGGCGCTTTATGAAAGCGCTCAAAGCCCTTTTGAGCATCGTGTGAACAACCACAAAGTTCAATTTATTTTAGGATTTAATGTGACTGAGACACGCAAAGCAGAGCATTATTAAGTTTTACAAAATGTTTTTCTATTTTTTTTCTTACAAATAAATAAATGTTTGCCTGTACAGTGTGTATAAAATGTATCCATAGTTTTACATGACCAATAAAATGTGCCTTTCTTTGTTTTTCAACAAATAGTGAAAAACTACTTTCTACAAAATGGCAAAAAAAAAATTTAACATTCACTGACCTAATTCGACAGAGGTCCAGTCAGCTCACAACAAGTTGAATGCTGATAACTCAAGTGCAATAAATGCATCTCCAGAATGTAAAGTAAAAAAAACAACTAAATCTACGCTGGTGGAGATTGTCATTGATCCAGGACATAATTACCTTAAGTGGCTCAGTAGAAAGCTACCGGACTTCTTTGTTTCTTGAGCCCTGGAAGCCATAAACATACAGAGCTTCACTGGAAAGGTCAATAAGACGCATTGAAGTTCGTGGGAGAAAACACCTAAGCATCTAAGAGCGTGGCAATACTCTTTCGAGACGCTTTCAATCAATTAGGCAGAGGAAAGAAAACGTCGGAGCGTCAGCTGAAGCTCCGGGACCAAAACATCTGGACCGAGTCTTTTTTGGCAATCGGCGGTTTTTATTTCAGCGCAAGCCAACCCACGGTGCAGCTCAGGCTTCTTTTAATTACCACTTCCTGGTGTTTGCCCTCTCCGTAATTACATAATGGTCAGTTTGGATTACAACAGGCTGCAATTACTTATCCTCATTGTGTGTTTCTGTTCTCATTTGTTATTCATTGTTGACCCATGGAGCTCGCTCTCTGTGTTTTGCCTGCTTTACAAATTCAAAAGGAGAGGGGGAAAAAAGTTTCCTACTTAATTCAGGAGCAAGAAATGTGTGTGTGTATATATATATATATATATATATATATATATATATATATATATATATATATATATATATAATTAGACTGAGAAATAATGTCTTTATTAAGTGTTGGAGAAACGAGTACACCACTGTGCATTATCTCTGTAATGATTCAAGTCACTATCACCCTTCATGCAGTAATTGCATTTCTTCTCAGCCGAGCAGTGGGGTGTTTGCTCTGGTGTAGCGTTAAAGCTTGCAGTTTGCATTTGATTTGCTGTATTAAAAAACACAGATCCCCGCTGCTGCAAATCAAACATCACTAACCCAGTGTTGCTTTGTGGCTTTTTTTTTTTTTTAAAGATCTTTTCTGAATGAATGCGTTGCTTATTTTCCTTCCTTTTTAATTCAAATAACGGGGGGTTTTTTTGTTTTTTTTTAGGGTTTTTCAGACTCTAGTGCATATTTGTAGGCATAAAATGCTCTCTGCCACCTTTTACTGAAGGCAAACATAAAGGTCCAGAACTGAACCAGCCCTGGTCATGGACCCCTCCCTCTAACCACCAACAGAACGTCTCTAATAATGAATATACAATGTGACATAGAGCCTTTCTGACAGAACGAAGTAGGCGGAAAAAATTCCCAGAAACTCAAAACAATCTGCCCAGGTCTACAGAAAATCTAGACTTGATGAGAAACTTTGGCATCTATCTGTCTGGACAGGATTGCAAACAATGTTGGGAACATACTGACACAAATCCTTTGCGGTTGATCAGGAACGGAGCGTTTGATTTGTGTTTCTTATCATTAAGGCTCGTCAGAACTTGGCTTGTCAGTGGTCATAATGTTTTGCCCCGTATTACTTGTAAAAATCAGTTGACCTTTGACCCATTCAAGCTGTGTCCCAACTTCGAGGTGTCCAAAAGTACAATAGCGCAAAAAGTGGGTAAACCCAATAGCCACTGCATTAGGGGCGCCCAGCCAGAGGGGGCGCCAGAGCGATGGAGGAAATGTATTTAACAGCTGTCTGTGAACGTGAACAGTACATGAATTTGTGGTGGCATAGTGTGATATATATCACACGGTGTTCCTTTTCATTTCGATCCAGCTGATCAGCTCGTGCACTGAGGTCCACTGCGAGCACGTGCTGGACACGTTGCATTTCGTTCCCATGCTTCTCCCTCGCGTGCGGGCGACAGTCTGGATGAAAAGCCAACAGGCGTTTATGAAAAAAAAAAATCCCTGACAAACAATTTAATGTCGCGTTACAGCTGAGCGACAGGCAGAGACGCGTTGGCACCGGTCGTAGGGAGCGCAGCTAACGAGCTTTGGCGTGCGATTGCGCGCACTTTTCGACGTCAGCGTCCAAAAGCCGCCGTGTCTCTGCGCGCGCCTCGCCACGGGAGTGTGTCAAGCGCGTGCGACGCTTGTGACTCAGAGGAAAATCCTATTAGATCTCTTTGCTCTCCCCCCACCTCTATATATACCTCCCTCCATCTCTCTCTCTCAGATTAACCCACCCGGGTGTCTGCAGCGTTTGGCTGCCTCTGTGGATCAGTCAGCGCGTCTTCCAGCTACAAACCAGCATCAAACCGCGGCCACTTTCTTCTTTCTTTCTTTCTTTTCCTCGCCTCTCTGTCGCCTGCTGGCTTTTAAATCACCCTGATCGTCGGGCCCAAAACGCTCAGCGTTGTGCTTTAAAGGTTTTACGCGCAGGCACTTCTGTGAAGGAGGAGGAGGAGGAGGAGGAGGAGGAGGAGGAGGAGGAGGAGGAGGAGGAGGAGGAGGAGGAGGAGGAGGAGGAGGAGGAGGAGGAACAGTTTCTCACTCGACGCTTGTTTCAAACCCATCCAACTCCATGTTGCATTTTCCCACAGTGTCCCACCTCTCTCAGCCCCCCACTGTGCGTGTCCGTCCTCGCTTTGCAATCCAATTTGTCCTCCTCTCCTTTATCCTTCCTTTCCTCCCCTCCCTTCTTTCATTTGAAGTAATGAGATTTCTGCTGTTCAGCGGAGAGTTTTAGAAACGCGCACGCACGCATTGAAAAGCGACCTCTGCCGCTCAATTTACTGCGCCGCCGCACCTCCGGCCATCTCCAATCTGCTTCTGCGGACCTCGGAGCGCAGGCCGAGAGGAATCACAGAGGAGGAAGGAAATAAACTGTGCAGGACTCAGAAGAAAGAAAGAGAGAAAGGAAGGAAGAATGACAACAGATCAAATAAAATCAAGGGTTGTTTGACGGAAGAGGAGGGAAGCCTTTCTTTTTATTGCGTCGCAGGAGTGTGAGGGGTTTCAAGGCAAGGTGAGTTATTTGTGCAGATTTTAGCTCAGGAAGAAAGTCCCTGATTGATGTGATGTTAAATTGGCAGCTGACAAGAGCCATGAAAAAATAATCAAACAAACAAACAAACAAAAAAATAACAACAACAACAAAAACTGGACCTAATCTTTCTTTTCCTTCAATGGTTAAAGCTGAACTTTATTTTTGTTGCTGATTTTTAATTATGCTGAAATTAAGGTGCTTTTATTAGGTTTGTTGTTATATTTACCCCTCTTCACACACACACACACACACACACACACACCACACACACACACACACACACCACACACACACACACACACACACACACACACACACAAAGCTTTCGCTTTAATAAGCTTTCGCTTTGCCAGTCAGGCAGCAGAAGTGTCTCTTTCTGGCCTCTGATGACCTCAAATGACCCCCAAACAAAACACAGATCAATGCGATCCACACTTTTAATGAAACGTCTTCAACTAAATTTCAAATTGAGCACAAAACACAAACTAAAAAGTAATCCTCTGACATAAATAGTTTCAATCAAACCTCTTAAAGCCAGAAGGAAAAACTGGCTTTTAGAGGAGGAGCACAAATATTTAGTCACTGAAAGAGTTGAACTTCCCAATCTTCCCGACCTCCTAATATTGCATCGCTGTTCTTAATTCCTCCCTGACTGAGCTGCACATCATGTTTTCTTGGTGTTCAAATCCCTCAGAGTGACAGTCAAAATTGAAGTTTCATCTTTAAAAACCAGGATGAGAGCTGCTGCAGCGAAGTGCCTCCGCACCGCTCACCTTGTTTTCCTCACTCAGTGACATCATATCTATAACAGTACATGCTTCATCTTGTGCGTCAGACCCGCCGGTCGCGACGCAACCAAACGGAGACGCGTTTCAAAAGGTCTGTTGACACATTTTTCAGGGAGGGCCTCCCCCCATCGCCGCCCCGCCGACATGGTGGACCTGTTCCTGGACCGGGTTCTAGTGGAGAACAACTCGGACCAGGACGAGCTCAACACGGAGCGCGAGATCGTCGGGATCCTGGAGAACCGCCTCCTGCTGCTCTTCTTCGCGTCGGCCGAGTGCGAGGAGTGCCAGAGGTTCGTGCCCGTCCTCGCCAGCTTTTTCAGGAAGCTGAAAGACCCAGCGTACATCGAGTACCCCAAACTGCTCGCTCTGATCTACGTCAGGTCCGCATCTTCGCCTCTCTGGTGTTTTTTTTTTTTTGTTGTTGTTGTTATCTCCTTTCTCAAGACCGGCCTCCACTACTGACTCTCTGACATGATTTCTGTCTTTCTCCTTCAGCTTGGACCAAACTGAGGAGCAGCAGAAAAAAATCCTCAAAGAGCTCCACAAAAGGACTTTGTTTTTGGCGTTTGAGGACCCGTACAGAAAGTAGGTGACTCATATTTTATATATATATATTAATGCGTGAAATAAATGAGTTTTGATAAGTTTTGTGACCCCCACGTTGCTCAGGGAGCTCCAGGCCATGTTCGAGGTGAAGGACGTCCCGGCGGTGGTGGTCCTGCGCCCCGACGGCTCCGTCCTCTCGCCGAACGCCGTGCGGGACATCCGCCGCCTGGGCGCCGACTGCTTCCGCAACTGGCAGGAGTCGGCGGAGCTGGTGGAGAGGACCTTCATGCTCAACGAGGAGTTCGACGAGCCCAACCTGCGGAGCGCCACCGACCCCGTGAGGAGGCTCAAGTACAAGACCGAAGACGACAAGAGGAACAAGAGGTGGTGGAAGCTGTGGGTGAAGGGAAAAGACGGAAACGGCGAGGGGGAGAAAGACGAAGCATGGGACACGAAGAGAAAGAATGGAGATGGAGGAATATGGCGAAAGAGATGAAAACGGGTTTTATATATATATATATATATATATATATATATATATATATATATATCTGCTATTGTTCCTTGTGGGAGTGAGATTCCTTCAGGTGATCCGCACAGAAGGAGTCTCACTCCCACAAGGAACAATAGCAGACATAGAGGACAGTTAAAAGTACCTAGGTATACCACAAGCAAATGGCAACCTCGATGAGGCCACAAGGAAAGGAGCCACAGCTAAATACCTCCAACGAATAAGGCAAGTCCTGAGAAGCCAGCTCAATGGCAAGAACAAAATCCGTGCGATAAACAGCTATGCCCTGCCAGTAATCAGATACCCTGCTGGAATAATTAGCTGGCCAAAGGAGGAGATAAAAGCCACAGATATTAAGACTAGAAAGCTACTAACCATGCATGGAGGGTTCCATCCCAAATCCAGCACCCTGAGACTGTACACGAGCCGCAAGGAAGGAGGCAGAGGACTAGTGAGTGTGAGAACCACTGTCCAGGACGAAACAACTAAGATCCATAAATACATCAGGGACAAAGCCTCAACAGACAATGTGCTCAGTGAATGTCTCAGACAACAGGGAACGGAGGTTGAGGTGCCAGAGATACCATCATGGGAGGACAAGCCCCTACATGGGATGTACCACCAGCAAATAACCCAAGTGGCTGATATCAGTAAATCCTACCAATGGCTGGAAAAAGCTGGACTCAAGGACAGCACAGAGGCCCTCATCCTGGCAGCCCAGGAACAGGCCCTAAACACCAGAGCAATAGAGGCCCAGATCTACCACACCAGACAAGACCCAAGGTGTAGGTTGTGCAAGGAGGCCCCTGAGACAGTCCAGCACATCACAGCAGGGTGCAAGATACTGGCAGGGAAAGCGTACATGGAGCGACATAACCAAGTGGCAGGCATAGTGTACAGAAACATCTGTGCAGAATATGGACTGGAAACCCCAAGATCAAAGTGGGAAACACCCCCAAATGTGGTGGAGAACGCCAGACCTAAGATCCTGTGGGACTTCCAGATCCAGACAGACAGAATGGTAATGGCGAACCAACCAGACATTGTCTTGTGGATAAACATCAGAGGAAAGCCGTTGTGGTAGATGTAGCAATACCAAGTGATTGCAACATCAGGAAAAAGGAGCACGAGAAACTGGAGAAATACCAGGGCCTCAGGGAGGAACTGGAGAGGGCCTGGAAGGTGAAGACCACAGTGGTGCCTGTGGTCATCGGGGCCCTCGGGGCAGTAACCCCAAACTGGAGCAGTGGCTACAACAGATCCCAGGAACAACATCAGACATCTCAGTCCAGAAATGTGCAGTCCTTGGCACAGCCAAGATACTGCAGGACCCTCAAGCTCCCAGGCCTCTGGTAGAGGACCCGAGCTCAGAGGATAAGAACCACCCGCGGTGGGTGAGAAGGGAATTTTATATATATATATATATATATATATATATATATATATATATATATATATATATATATATATATATATATATATATATATATATATATATATATATTTTTTTTTTTTTTTTTTGGTGTCTTCAATCTAATTCTGCTCATCTTAAAGCAAACCACTCCCGTTGTTGCTGCCGTGACCCGACAGTGTTTTCAAGAACTGATACCAGTAAATTAAAAATGTGTCACTTTTTTGTCTAACTTTAGAATCTATATATATATATATATAATCATGGAAAGTGTGACCTTTGGTCTCCAAGTTTGCTGTTGCTTTTCATATAGAAAGCTGTAAAAGTAACTCTTGGACATAAAGTAAATATTAATATTTCATGTATTAAAATGTTGTTTATAAAAAGAAAACTGAATTATTTGGTTTTATGTCTGTGTGATTAAACCCACACATTTCACTTAGAGCTTTTAGGATTCATTTTTGCTGTCAAATTCAATGAATAAGAACAATATTGAACATTTGATCTATCTATGGAACTCAGTTTGTTAAACGGAAGATTAATTACTGTCAGACTCGTGTATTAGCCATTATTTCTGTTTAAGGTGATGCTCCACTGACATCCAACGACTACACATTTATGATGAATAAAATCATAAATACAGAACTCTGGGCTTAATGAAAATATAATACCAGCTTACTGTCCTTTTAGTCTGATGAACGTGTTTCTGTGGAAGCCATATTCCAATTTATTGAACATGACACACTGTTTGTTAAGCATTGGGCTTTTCCTTTGTAGACATTCCTTAACAGCCTTCAAGTAATCCTTTAAGAGTGAACTATTAAATTGGTCCATGCTACGGATTACGAGCTGCTATCATTTGGATGAATCAAACTTTCCGTATCCAGGCTGGAGTACGAATCCCTAAACGACAAACATCATTAAAGTCCCATTTGGAGACATTTCCATCATGTCTCCTCCGGGTTCAGGCGGAGACATGCGAGCACTTCGCGTCCCCAGCTCCTCTGGTCACCTTGTCTTTATGTCCCCCCGCCCTGTAACCAGACAGAGGAAGGGGGCGGAGCCTCCAGGACTGAAAGCCAAGAAGCTGGAAGCAGCAGCAAGGGGAACAAGGTGAAGGTGGAGGGAGAAGTCTGACTAACAGGCTGGGTCCCGTTTCTCGAGAGAGGAAGAGAGAAGAGAAGGTTTGGGAGAAAAGCAGAGCCAGACGTGATTGTTGTTCTGCGTTGGATCTGCTGCCTTGAGGGGAGATACTACAGGTGAGCAACTGTGAGGATTATCTGATTTAGCAGCAAGTGAGATTACATATGTGAATAATGCATGTCTGTAAGTAGGGCTGACTGGAAATAGAAACTGACTTTCGAAACAAAGTGGTTTTCACCCGGTGAGGAATCTTTCTTGAGCTACGTTTATATCAAGAATTAAACATTTTGTTTAATTTTGTATTTTTTTGAATAGATCACCATTCCTTTATGGTTCGCCGCCAAAATATCATCCTCCTATTAAAAGAGTGAATAAAACGCTAAAGTGTCGGGAGGGAGGGGGTTTCTACTTTTGCCTATGTACAACTTCAAACTACTTTAACCTCATGTATTTTTTTTTATTGTTATTATTTGTCTAAAATTTAATTTACAGTTACTGCTCTACTAAAAACACAAAACCTTACCAAGTATTTTTGGTCTCATAGTTTTTTAGTGCAGATTTTTTTGTACACTTGAAATAAGACAAAACTAATTGACAAGTAACTTTTCAGTTTTAAGTCAGTAATTACGTAAGTTTTTATTATTAAAACTACTAGTTATAAGTGAAATGATTGTATGCTATAATATGTGAAAAATGTCTTTTTCCACTAGCAGATTACTTTCTTTATGAATAGCACCTTTTCAACAATGTTAAATAAATATATTATTGCTTATATCACAGTGTTCTTGTCTTGTTCCCCTTTCTCATCAATATTAAGAAATTATTTACTTAAAACAAGCTTTTATGTTTTGCTGAAAGGTTATTTGTAAGTTCTTTTAGTCTTATTAAGATATTTGCACTAGAAACTAGAGCAAAAATACTTTATGTTTATAGTGTGGGTACTATATTGAGCCATTTTTTAAAAAAATTGTCAGCTCTTCTACTTGTTTGGATGCGGTTTGAGCAAGACACAAACCAGGACAGTGTAATATTCTGCAGAGTATTGTTTGCATTACTCCCTCCTCTTCCTCGGCCAGCGACGCCTCACCATGGTGGACCTGTTTGTTGACCGGGTTCTTGTGAAGAACAACAAGGACCAGGACGAGCTGGACACGGAGCGCGAGATCGTCATGCGTCTGCAGAACCGAATCCTGATGCTCTTCTTTGCCTCTGCCGAGTCCGAGACCTGCCAGCGGTTCGCTCCCACGCTTCACGACTTCTTCAAACAGCTGACCGACGAGTTCTACGTGGAGCGCTCCGCTCAGCTGGTGCTGCTCTACGTCAGGTGCTGCACTCAGGGAGACGCTCCTTCCTTCCTTCTTTCCTTGCTTTCCTTCCTTCTGCCTTTCTTTCTTCCTTCTGTCTTTCTTTTCTTCCTTCGTTTCTTTCTTCCTTGTTTCATTCATTCTATCCTTCCTTCTGTCTTTCTTTCCTACCTTCCTTCCTTCCTTCCTTGCTTCCTTCTTTCCACCTGTTCTGAACATAAAGTCTTCATAGATGTCCATGACTGTTGTTGTTTGGTAAACAAACAACAACACTAAAAGTCGAATCTACTTTGCATTAAAACTGTCATTATTTACCAAATAGCACTTCATGACGACAGTAATAGCCATTGGTGAAAACTACTTCATGTTCATAACAGGTGTGATGTCATGCCTCATATATTTTCATATTGATTTTACAACTGTGCATTTGAATACAGTTTATAGGGAAAGCGAATTTGGGGGAAACCTCTAACAATCTGTTTCCCCGTCAGTCTGGATCAGTCAGAGGAACAGCTGGACGACTTCCTGAAAGAGCTCCCAAAGAAGTCCCTGTTCCTCGCCTACGAGGATCCTTACAGAAGGTTTGTGGTGATGACTATGTTTCACGAGACGCATTGATAGAGTCGCCACGCGTCAACGCAGCATGCGCGCCCGCAGGGAGCTGGAGGCCATGTTCGACGTGAGGGAGGTCCCCACCGTGGTGGTCCTGCGTCCCGACTGCTCCGTCCTCATCCCCAACGCGGTGGAGGAGATAACCCGCCTGGGTCCGGACTGCTACCGCAACTGGCACGAGGCGGCCGAGCTCATCGACAGGAACTTCCTCGCCACGGAGGACTTTGAGGACAAGTCCATGCGCAGCTTCAGCGACCCCGTCAGGCGACTCAAGTACAAGGTGGAGGACGAGGAGAAGAAGGCGAAGAAGAAGGAGAAGGAGAGGAAGAAGAAGAAGAAGCAGCGGCGAGGCTGGGGCGGGGGAGGCGACGAGGGCGAGGAAGCCGGAGCGGGCGGAGCGGGCGATCAGGACGGCGGAGGGTCGATGTGGTGATGGAGGGAAAGTTGCTACTTTATTAGAGTTTGGAAGCTCTTTTCTTTTTTCTACCCTTCTAAGAGTCTTGTTGTACAGCAAATTTCATAATAAATACGCTGTTTATGTCATTTTTTAAATGTTTTTTTAATTATTATTTTTATTATGACATACCAGGTGATCATGTGCAGGCAGAAATATCAAATCATGCCTCGCAAAAGCATTGACCTCATAAAACTTTTGCTTCACATTAGAACAAAAAGAGAAATGTTGGGATTTTCGCAACAGACAAGGTTGTGACCAGGAACGGAAGTGATGGATCTAATTATTTTTAACATAGTGAAAATCATCTGAAAATTGTGGAACGCGTGTCCACTTGCAGAAGTAAACTCCAAACATTGCCTGTGTGCAATGTGACGATGAAATTTACCAAACGCTCGCACTCTTTTATACACACTGCCGTGGATTGTGCTAATGTGGTTTAATGTGTGCTGTCCTAATCGAATTCATTAAATAAATACATAAGTAACAAATTTAATCTAGCAAGATTAAATTTTTACAATTTTTTAGAGACTACAGCTGCAGCTGTCCTGAGAAAGCTTCACAGGTTTGTTAGTGAACATTAGACAGCAAACATCACCATCGAGATCAAGACCAAAGAATGGAGTTGTTGAGAGGATTGAAGCAGAGTCAGGTTATAAAATGAAGTTCAGAGTTCAATCCGCCACAAAAAACACAAACTTATACCGAGTCACGATCGTGACGAAGCAAACAGGGACATTTTCTGTGGAAGTGGCTCCTCTGTCTGTCGAGAAAACGTGAACATTTTTACACGTGGAGTTAAGCGAAGCGCCGCAAATTACCCAGAACGCACCTGCCTCGCCTTGAAACATGTTGATGCCGTTTCGTGACCTCTGACAAAGCCCCGGGATTTGATCACTGATCTCAAACGCTCTTCATCCGGCCGAGTTGAGAGGACAAATTAGCGGGTTTTCTGTGGACTGGAATTGGTTGGAGATGTACGAACGGTTTTGTTTGCAAGGCTCTCCATGACTCGTCAAGCAACGAGGCTCTTGTGTCTGAAAGGCCGCTGAAAGCTGCCTCGCCTCGTTGCCGTGTTTGTTTGGAGTCGTCTCGGCCCCGACGCCTGAAGTTTGCAGTCAAGCAAAGGCTCGTCGTGAGGCGCGAGGAGTCCTCCTCCTCCTCGACTTGTTTTCATCACACCCAGGAGGAACGACTGAAAGCCGTTCCTCCATTTTTGACAACACCGGCGCTCGGCGAAGATGCAGTTTTCCCGTGTTGCGTGCCGCAAAAAAAAAAAAAAAAATCAAAGCTCTCCTTGCACAATTTGATAAGCAATGAATAATTCAGCAGGATTAAAATAATTTCTGGAGATTGTTTTGTTTTTGAGAGCTCGTGAAGCCTGGCTGTACTTTAGAGTCTTCATAAGCAGTAATCAGAGCCATTCAAAGAGAGTCAAGTGAAAATGGGGAAACTAGCTCAACAACATAATCAGTGATTTCTTTTCAATATGCCGAGGTCTGTGTTTAGTCCCTGCACATTTCCCCTCTCTTGTATGCGGGATTGATGATGCTTTCTGTGCGATCAGCTAGGATTCCTGTTAGGAGACGTTTCCTCAAAGGAAAATGAAGGAACCTGGTTTTCTTCCATCATCCTCAGCGTCCCATCACTCCATCACATGCTGTCGGTGCTTCTGAGCACAATTTTTACGTCCCTTGTTCAATTTTCAGACCCGTTTATAAGATTTAAATTAAAAAAAAAGAAAAAAAAAGAAAGGAAAAACAGTTCAACATATAACTACGGCCAAAAAGTCACTGGGGTTTATATTTATGAACTCCAAATGCCACAAGAAAACCCTTGTTCTGTGAAATTACTGCTGTTGATGTGAGGAGCGGCCATATTGAAATATTGGAATTTCCCAGTTCCGACTGCAACCGCAACCCAACAAAACCGCATAAAAGAAAGATGAACAACATCAAGAATATATATATATATATAAATAACATTAACAGCTGATTAGCTACTTAGTTCAATCATTTGAGTAATGTTTGTTAGAAAATTAGAAAAACATTACAAAATACACTTGTGTACACTACCATACATTATAGAAATTCCTCTAGGAAAATGTATCTTTTTTTTTCGAAGATTGGTAAAATTGTGCTTTATTATTTAGCGCGCCATGTTCCGGCCGGTCCACGATTTGTGTCGGACGGCGCCGCGCTCACTTCCGCCTCTGAGCGCTCGCAGCATAACGGCAAAGTTTCCGGGCTTTGTGACGTTATTTAGGACTGCTCGCATCCTCTCGTGACCGCGCGGTTCACCGTTTGAAGGCGAACAGCTGGAGGAAGGGCACTGCCTTTCCGATTACTCGATTAATCGTAAAAAAAAAATCGATAAGAGTTTTCGGTTACTGAAATATTCTTTTACAACAGCCCTTAAAAAAAAAAACACGGTTAGCGTGTTGCATTCAAAACACGTGATTGCAATAACACCCTCCATGGTTGCAGACATTTCATCAAGTGTTTTTCCACTCCTCTCCCACTTCCCGCAGGTTGGGGGAAATACAGATGGGAAGAACCAGTGAGGAGCAGTGGAACAGCTGAACATGCATCGCATAATGATGGAAGCGGAGAATCATCAGGTGTCATTAACAGCCGACCATCTTCATCCGTGCAACGTGATGACGGACAGATTGGGAAAAAAAAAAAAAAAATATATATATATATATATATATATATATATATATATATATATATATATATATATATATATATATATATATATATATATATATATATATATATATATATGTCTTGTTTCGAAGGAGAGCCGCGCGATCCAAAGTCCTTTTTGCGATTTCCATGGAAGTATTGCAAAAAGCCATGTTGGCTGGCCGTTCATGCAGCAAACACAATAGCTCCCGTTCCTCCATGGCAGAAGCTGCAACACGCACTCAGAGCCGGTCAAGAGGATCCAGATGCTGAAGCGAGCGCGTATATTCCTCTGCTTTTGCCAACACAGCAGCTTATTGTTGCTCACTCAGACAAACCTTGACAATATATCTGAATTCCACCCACCCACCGACCATCAAAACACACACGCCCCACACACCTACACACACACACACACCTACACACACACACACACACACACACACACACACACACACACACACACCCACGCACACACACACACACACACACACACACACGCACGAGCAGCACATAGAAAGCAGAGACGCGTTGCGCGCTCTCGGGCGCAGAACGCGCAACAAGCGGGACCAGCGGATGAAGAGAGAGAGAGAGAGAGAGAGAGAGAGAGAGAGAGAGAGAGAGAGAGAGAGAGAGAGAGAGAGAGGAGGACGGATGCAAGGCGAGGCCAGGAGTGAGGAAACCTTATCTCTCCTGCTTTTCCAGCTGTTGTCTTTGTGATCTCTGTGTGTGTGTGTGTGCGCTTTTTTATTCCCAGGATAATTTTATAAAGCGTTTTTGTTTGTCTTTTTCGAAGCGAGAAAACAGACGTGACAAATCTCGACGTCCGTCCCGATGTGTCGCCGCGTTTCATCACGATTGGTCGAAGATGCGGGAAGCGGCGCCCGTCGCGTCGAGGCTGTTTTCCATTAAACATACGAAGATGCACTCGACGAGCGACGTCGGACACATGACAGGCGACAACAGCCTGGCTCGGTGAAGAGAAGAGGAGGAAGAGGAGGACGAGAGAGGGGTGGAGGTGGGAGCGACATCGACGGATGGACGCGAAGCAACCGCGGGTTTGTGCAATAATTTGCGCCTAATTATTGTTCGTGGCGGCTGATCGGGGAGCTATTTTTACATCCGTCCATCCCGGAGCTGGAAAGGCCGACATAGCCCCGCATTATCTCTGGACATGAAACCCGTGGGAATTATGATACCGACGTGACGCACGGTCACACACACACACACACACACACACACACACATCACAGCGCGGCGGGGAAGACATCGAGGGTGTGCGGTCCACACTGATCACAGGAAGGGAGGACGCCCAGTCGTTGTCTGACAAATCGCGCCGATGACTGTTGTTTAGAGCTAAGCGGATTGGGCCCAGCAATTTTTTTTTTAAATTTTTGTTGTTGTTTTTTATTGTTATTATTATTTTTAATGCACTGGAGGCAGCGAAGCGGGAGGCGGGCGGGAGAGTACAGCGGGTGAGGGAGTGGAGGGACGGGATGCGGGAGACGCAGTGAGCGCGGAGGAGGAGGAGGAAGAAGCAGAAGAAGAAGAAGAAGAGGGGAACCAGGAGGATTGACGGTAAGATATGAACACTGGCACCCCGCCCCTCACATTAACTCTCCATCCATCCTCATGCACAACCTCACATGTATGATGATGAAGAGGAGAGAGGAGAAGAGCTGCTGCTGCAGCTGCTGCTGCTACTGCTGCAGCCTGTGGCCATTTGATCAGTGACAAACACGCGTCTGACGCTTGAAACTCCTACCTCTGGCTGCCATTAAACCTGGGTCAGTAGTAGAGGAGAGCTGCCCTGTGAAATATTCATAGGCATGCGATTGGCCTCAGAGGGCGACACGCTTGACAAACTGGCCAACGTGCGTCCGAGCCGCTGGCACATCAGAGAGCGAGGCTGCTGCTGCTGCTGCTGCTGTTGCTGCTGCTGCTGCTGCTACTGCTACTGCGAGCCTCCATTAGAAATGTCCTGCATGGGGTTTTAAATGCTAATTTATGACGAGAGAGAAAAAAAAAAAAAAAACAAGGCGAGGAGGCCAGTATCAATATTTCAGAGCGGGAATGAGAAGACTGGGTCAGTAGGAGGAGGAAGAGGAGAAGGAGGAGACCAACCTGGAGAGGAAGGAAGAGAGAAAGAAAAGGAAAAAACGATGATGAATGAAAGAGGAAGAGTCACGCTGGCAGAGCTTCGATTTTAGGAGGGGTTCGACTTCTCCTGACACATTTGACTCTCTTCTAAACACAAAATGTGCTGCCGGTTCTTCCATAGAGGTAGAATTAGTCTCTAACCTTTATGTGGTTTCATTTATGAATTTTTTTAAAGCAGGTTCCTCAAAGTGATTCAAGCCTGAAACATGCTGGGAGTTTGTACTTTTGATGCATTTATTGACATCAAAATAAGAGGAAGAGGGAAAAGTTGGATTCTGTTTTATTTCACCCACAGACCAATGGGGGGCTGACTGATTCCTTCCTCTCTGCTTTATGTTTCTACAATGATGTGGCAAAAACGAGAAGTTTGCCGTAAACGCCTGCTGATGCGAGACCTCCACAAATGTAGATCTTAAAAGCTGTCACGTTGGAATACATATCGAGGGAGGAAACAAAGATAATGAGGCCTGTTTCTCCATTTACATCACCTACAAGAGAAGAGAGCACACACACACACACACACACACACACACACACACACACACACACACACACACACACACACAGAATATGAAATGTACCATTTAGTGGCTTTCTGCCTCAACCATCTCAAGCAGGTTCCCGTCACGTCCCTCTGAGTCCGTCAGACACAATGAGTCAGTCTCCCTGTTGCACTGGGAGCTTTTTACGCATTCGGGCCTGCGAACGCCGTGCAGAGGCAGTGGGTGGATGGATCAGCGCAATATCAATCTTGTGGTACGAGACCGGACGCCGGCAGGGATTTCAGCAGGAACAGAGACGCACGGAGGCAGGCAGCCGCTGATTTCACAGTTCGTGCTGAATTGTTATGTTTTATATCAAAAGAGCAGAAAGTGCTGGACGCTGCTAATCCAGGGATGTCTGAAGGTTTGGCATTCAGTCGACTAAGTCCAGAACTAAACAATTCAGGTCCCTCTAGGAACAGATACCAGACGACCACTGAGTGGCTGACAAACAGACTTTGGAGCCAAGATATCGGGAGATTTTATGCACAACAAATATATGACGATCAGACAGTCGATCATTCGCTCCCCTGGAAGCTTTACCACATTTTGTCATGTCACAGATTTCATTGTGTGGGATTTTTTTTGTGTGTGATATGAGGTGGAAGGAATTCAGAGATGGTTTTTACAATTTTTTAATTTTCACAAAAGAACAACAAAAAACTCTGGAATGCGTGGTGTTCATTTGTATTCACGGTTTCCCAGTAGGAACCGCCTTTCGCCAATATTTTGCTGCGACTCTTTTATCTCTTGCCTGCTTTGCACATCGACAAACTCAAGTTGGTGACAGTTTTTCTCTGAAAATCCATTGAGAGCATTTTGTAGAGAAATCCATTGTCAAGCACCGCCGCTGATTCTTAAGCGGATTTAGGCTTGGACTTTGACTGGGCCATGCGAAGCCGTGACTGTGCTTTGGTCCGAACGGTTCCTCCGTGGTTCTGGCCGCCTGTTTGGGGTGAACCTGCTGGGAGGTCAAGTGTGTGGGTGTGTCTTACGTCTCCATGGACATGGTGTGTTCAAGGTCATGTACACCTGTTAGTTTTCTACCAAACACAGAGCAGCCGCACAGTTTCATTTTGACCTAGCCTTTCCCACCTGAGCCGTGGCTCCTTGCAGCTCCTCCAGAGTTGCAATGGAGCTCTAGGCTGTGTTAGAATGAGGGCTAAAGCAACAGAAGTGGACTTTAACCTGCTTTGAACTCCTCCACAGCTTCATCCCAGACACGTTTCATTTACTCCTCGGGATGCTTTTTGTTCATTATTGGAACAAATCTCCAAAGCCTTCACAGAGCAGCTGGATTAATACTGAGATAATATTACGCATAACTGGACTCTACTTACAAACGGGGTGATTTCTGAAGACTTTTATTTAGTTGATTATCTCCTAAAACTATAACTCCAGCTAACAGTATCTTCTGTCACAGTGAAATATACAATTTGACTCTTTTGTTCTCCCAATTAAACCGGACGAGCTTAACTTTCGAGTAAATGAGTTTTCCTGAACATCATTTCCTCATCCGACACATTTTCTTGATCCCGTGGGTTTTATTTAGCCGCTGGACTGTGTTCTGCAGACCCTCGGCCAGAAAGGCTACAGCCGGGTCGGTTTCCGTGTGTCACATTTTGTCGCACTTCAGCACAATAATCCACTTTTCTGTCCAGAAGTCTGCTTTGACATGCTTGAGCACATCATCAGTTCACAAAAGAGACAGACAGCCCAGGATAACAGAAAAACACAAACGACCAAATCCTTTCTGTGAACATTTTTTTTTTTTTGTCAGGGCCCTAAATGTGCGGTTTGTGCTTACATGAGCATGACAGAAATGACAAAAAACATGACAACGTGTGCTTTAACACAAGCGTTAAGAAATGGCTTATTTCTTAGTTTACATATTAACACGTAAACATGCCATTTTTGATTTGTATCTGAATGTGTGCCCTGCTAAGTAAAGCGCCGTAACGCCATACTGCGATATTGTTGGGTGGTCATGTTTTTATTAGCTGCATTTTGGCAATGTGAAACCTCGTAGTGAGAAATATAAGCAGCTTATTTACAAATGCCTTATCTTAATTAGTCCCTCCCTTTGTTTTGTGGCGGCAGAGCAGTCATTTTAAGGGGAAACCATTTACGTCTGTTTGGAAACAAGCGAGTTTCACGTTTTAATAAAGAAGCTTGTTGCCCAAAAAATAAGCAGGACTGCATTAAATTAAAATACTAAGAGCTAAGACTTAATTTGGTTGCTCTTGTTTGACCTCAAATTGTTTTTTTGCCTTCAAAAAAATCTGTTTCTCATTTAGAGTGCGCTGTCTAAAATTGCTTTATTACGGCAGTTGCACTAAGTGCTCCACAGAAAGAAGAGTAAAATAATTGGTAGGAATAGGTCAAATAAATAAGAAAAACATTAAAAAAAAGCACATCTGGCTGACTAAACAATGTCCATTTAACAGCGATGAAACGACTCATTTTGCTTGTCTAACATCTGAGAAGCGCTTAAATCTGAAACCAAATCCTTTCCGTTTTCCATCTGAAAGCATCTCCGGAGTTATAAATCACAAATTCAAGACTCTCGGTTTAATTATCGGTTCGTTTAGATGCAGGTGTGACGCCGTGTTGGGATTAGGAAACAAAGCTCCCTGATGAAGCAAACCGCCAAAAAAAAACAAAACAAAACAAAAAAACGTATTGAAATGAACTCCTTTAATACGTGATTTTACAGTAATTTGGCGATTATATGTTGGTGGAAAATGAAGAGCATGATAATCCAATAAATTACTTTGCTGTCTATAAAGGTAATCGGTTTGTTTCAGCTGCATTTGTTTTAGTAAACTTTTATTTTACTGTTGGGAAAATCTCTCTTCACACTCATTGCCACCCCAGTAGTGTAATTTAACAGCAATTGAAATCCAACATTTACAAGTTTCTTTTTCCACACAAAAAAAATCACTGAAAGGTTGTTGTCAGTAATTATCTAGGGACGCGTAATTAGTAACTCTTGACTCCCTGTTTCCCAGGGGTATGAATACAGTGGGACACGGAGGCCGTTTTGCTTCAAAAACAGAAAAGAGTGCAGTTTCAGGAAAGCAGACGCGCGTTCATCTTTTGTAGCGCAGAAAATAGCAGCCAGGAAGCAGCTGCCCACCTCAGCCAGGGCAGGAATCGTTTCTTAACAAATGGAAACGGTGACAAGACGGGATGAGGACTCATTTATCTGGGCACCTCACACAGTGAGCGTGGTGGAACGGGAGGCACAGAGGTCTCTGAAACTGTACCTGGTTCTGTAGCACTGAGTCTCCAAGCACTGCAAAAACTGAAACCGAATTAAGTTCAAACATCTTGGATTAAGGAGGTTTGTGTTTATTCTTTTTCTGACAAGATACTTTTTCTCTTTTAGAGGTTTTTATTAGAGATGCACCGATCTGATATTAATATCTGTATCGGCCTCAGTTGAAAAAGGAAAAAAAAAAGTCTAGATTGGGTCTTGGTGATGATTTGCCCAGTCCACAAGACCAGATGATGTATTCAGTCTTATTCTATGGTTTGTGCTCTGAGCGACGTCTCTCTTTATTAATTTTACATCAACTGTTCCATTCCTAACTGCACTGACTGAAAAAAGTAAAGTTGGGTTGTTTTTACACGTTTGACGAAGCTTGTGAAGCTACTTGTGTATTTTCCTGTGCTGTACTGGTGCAGAGCTATCAAACACATTTCTAATTCAGCACAATTACATCTGTCCTTAAAAACAGAAAAAATCTAAGTCAATTCAGCACTGTTTTTTTCTGTACCACATCGGTATTGGCCCATACTAAACCTCAGATATCGGTATCGTATCGGAGGTGTAAAATGTGTATCAGGTCGCCTCTTGTTTCTATAGTAGAA